AACATCTACAGAGATTTTGGAATTCCATTCATTCATTGTTGCACCCTTCTCCACGCACAAACCCCTCCCCCCCCCCCCCCCGTTTGCTCCTCTCCTTCAAACGCAAAAGAAAAACTCCCTCATTGGTACACAATCCCCCACACACATCCCCCAATCCCCAAATATAAGCCACTCTGCAACCCTCGTTCCGTACTCTTACGATAAACATAATGCCCTAAAATAGAAAATATTCTCTCCCCCAAAGACTTCAGTGCCGTAAACATATTTCATCTAGACTGAGAAATTTTTTTATGACACTTTGGTTTGTTTCACATCACAGATAATATGTTTTTAAAAAATTTAAGTTGGTGGCAACTTCTCATGCATTTGCACACTTAACAGATTGTAGTGTAGAGTCAACATAACTTTTATGCGACCTAAGAAATTGTATGCCTCACAAGACCCACTTTATCATGGTATTGGCTTTGTTGTGACTGTCTGGAGTGAGACCTGCAGTATCTCTGAGGTGTGCCCATGTTTTTAACATGAAGTGGAATAATTTAGATCACAAATTTTTAACAGGAATAGTGCCAAGGACATGATGGTGGGACACCATCATCACAGGCTCCAGGGATATTTATATTTTCTCCTGTGCAGTCAGTCTCTGCTCCCTAAACCTCTCAATGGGTCTCTGTCACTGCCTTCTGTCCCTTAGGTCTCTGCAACTGTCCTCTGTCATCAGTGTCTCTTATCACTTATGTCTCTATCACGGCGCTGTTACCTCTTCTGTGATGCTACCCTCTGTCCTCATGTGTTTATAACACTGCCCTCTGTCCCCATGTGTCTCTGTTGCTGCCCTTCATCCCCATGTGTCTCTGACACTGCTCTCAGTCCCCATGTATCTCTGACGCTGCCCTCTGTCCCACCATGTCTCTGACGCTGCTCTCAGTCCTTGTGTGTCTCCAGTGTAGCCCTCTGACACTGCCCTCTGTCCCAACATGTCACTGATGCTGCCTTCTGTTCTCTGTGACTCTGACATTCAGTCCTGTGTCTCTTCACTGTCCTCTGTTTTCTCTGACACTCTGTCCCTTGCACCTCTGACGCTGCTCTTTCTCCCTTGCAGTGGCTGAGAGTCGTGGGATTCTGGAGAGCATCCAGAGGTTCTCCCTGCTGCCCACCTACCTCCCGGTCACCTACCACATCCAGCACGCCGACGTAGCCTTCTTTCTCAAGGAAGCCGACCAGGACATCATGAGGAACTCGAGCCTGCAGTCCCGTGTGGAGTCTTTCCTCATCTACAAGTCCAAGCGGCTGCCCCTGCTCAATGCCAGCTATGGCCCCTTCTCCATCCAGCAGGTCGTGCCCCAAGATCTCCTGCAGCCCTCCAGTCCCTTCGGGCCTGCCGGCCAGTTCTCACTCCATTGGAAGCTAAAGGCCACCGTCCTGCAGGACAGAGTGCCCCTGAGCCGGCCCCGCGTACAGGTCCTGTTTCATGTCGTGGGCCGGGACTGGGATGACCACAGTACCGCTGAGCAGCTGCCCTGCCTGCGAGTCTTTGCCTTCAGAGAGACCCGAGAGGTGCGGGCCAGCTGCCGGCCGCGGGGGGCACTTGGGCTGTGTGTGGCCGAGCTGGAGCTGCCCCCTGCCTGGTTCAGCACCCCTGCGGTAGTGGCTGGGAGGAAGAAGACAGCAGAGAGGCCTGAGGGCACCCCGGTGGAGCTCTACTACACCGTGCAGCCAGGGGACGGGCATGGCGACTGTGCCAAGGGCGGCTCTCGAACTAGTGGTGGTCAGCGGACAGGCCACAGTGACATGGACGAAGCCGGGCCACCCCTGCAGAGGATTGGGAGCGTGTTCCTTTACCAGACTCAGAGCCCACCGGCCCTGCGAGAGCTGCGCCTGGACCACAACGTGGCCGTCCACTACCTGCCACGGACCGCCAGGCAGGGGGACTTGCTCACCTTCCCTATTTCCGTGTCCACGAACATCACGGAGGACCACTTCACCTTGAGGTGAGTTTTCAGAGTATCTGTGCTGGCTTTGGTCCACACAGGGCCAGGGAAACAGTCAGTGGATGGGACGCAGTGTGTGTCTGCTCCCCCAGGAGTCCCAGCTCCACTTGCCTGTGAGATGGGCACCAGGTTCACAGGGTGTGGACAGGGTCTTATTTTCTGAGCCATCAGAGACCACTCAGGGAATGCTGGTATCCTATCTTTTGCCATATAGTCCAGGTGTCACCCACAGGTTTTAGTGATGCCAGAGTTGTCCAGCCAGGCGTCACGTCCAGCCTGAAGGGGGGGGTGCGTTGGGGCAGCCACAGTGATCAGAAGGGGGGGAGAGTATGGTCTTGGTAAGGTTCTCTGCTTAACAAGTTCCAAATACAAGCGTCCTCCATGTGCTGTGAACCCCAAGCTAGACCCTGGTATTCAAAAAAGAGGGACATAGAGAGAGATGGTCAGACACCAGACACGAGGCCTGGGGGGTGAGCACTGGGCACCCCGGGAAAGGCAGGTCTGTCAGTGGCTCAGAGATCATGAGGAGCTGGTGGCCGTGGTCGAGTTGGGTTCTCACAGTAGTTTGTTTTGAGCAGAGACATGTTCAAGGACAATAGCTCAAGGATTTGACTGGAGGTGCCTTTGCTGCTATGTCACTCTCATTTGATCTGAAGGACAGTGCCATGGCCTCTGAGAGCAGGAGCACCATGTATGTGGATCCTCCCACGCATGTGAAACCGCTTCTGTGTGGCGTTAGGATCTGTGATAATCGTCTGTTCTCTTGTCCAACACCGTCTGGGTTAATAACTGTTCACTCACTCTCCCTTCTCTCTTTTTTCTTCCTTCCCTCCTTCCCTCCCTCCTTCTTTCCTCTCTCTCTCTCTGCCTTCTTTCTACCTTTTCTTCTCTCTCTGTGTCCCTCCCTGTCTCCACTTGCTGTTCCTGAGGAGACTGGCAGCTGGATTAGAACCGCTGACCTTTTGGGTGGCATCCAGCACCTTCTGCACAGCACTGCCGGGCTCCTCTGGAACGTTCTTTTCCGTCAAAAGAGTTGCATGATCATTTCTCAAGGAAGGCCAGTGTCCTTCTCACTGTACCATTGGTACCAGTTTCCTCTTTGTAATTTGGTGATTTGATTGTGAAAATATTCTTACTCAGAGATTTCTGAAGTGTCACAGAACAGCCAGGGTGCTGATGTTATTATGCCTTTTACAAAAGTTTGGGGTTGTTGCTTATTCGTAGGCAAGTGTAAGGAGTTGAGCACGCCTTTCCTTGTTCTCAGGGGCTCTCGTGGCCTGGTGGGTAAGGAGAGTTAAAAGGAGCTTTTCTCTCACAGTCTCACACGCTGCCTCCGTCAGACTTGCCCACCGCTGAGGTTCTATTCCTGGACCCGCAGTTCCTGGGCCCAGTGGTCCCATGTTCTCATGACCCAGAAAACGAGAGCTGAGTCCAGCTCTTTCCTCTTGGAGGCAGTTGTATGTGCAGCATGGAATTTCCCACAAGGCTGTACACCCTGTTGTGGCCAGCCATCACATAAACACCTCCTTCTCAGCCTGGCCACGCTGGTCACCAGTAACAGTCTACCAGAGTGGCACCCTGGAGAGCTGCATTTGCTCAAGGATCCAGATGTTTTCAGATTCAGAAGCCAGTGCATGTGAAGCCTTCAAAGTCAACTGTCCTAACTATCAGCCAAGGATTTTGACTTTTTGGTTAGAGTAAGAGTGCCCTTTTCCAGAGCCTGCCAGCTTTTCTGACAACACCAGATCAGGGTGACTCTTTCCTGGAGGTGCATTCCCTGTTGGTGAGCAGGCCCCCCACCTCTGTCCCTCTGAGAGCCCCCCTCAGCACAGTGCTCATGTATCCCCAAGCACTCTCATTACTGTTTAGTAAACAGTCGGATCTGTTTACCATACAGCTGGCAGTGACTGGGACTTGGAAGGCTGTTGACCTTTACTTTGAAAATAATAAAGTAGTACATCTTTTCTTAATGAAGTTGATTTAACTAATTTGGCACAGTCTTCACATTTCTAGGATAAGCACAGGCCTGACTGCCTGCTCAAAGGAACCCTGCAGGGTCCAGTCACACATTTAGGGGCTTTTCCTCCAATCTCCTGGCTTCTATTTCCAGACTCTCAGCAGTCAGCATTAACTGGTCCAGAGCCAGGTGCCAGCAGGTGTCCTCTCCCACTTGGGGTGTCCAGGGTGGAGTGGGCCTCAGGTCATTCACTTCCGATGGGGGCACTAGCCCCCTGGGACTCCTGCTGCAGCTGTGATATGAATTCTCTGCAGAATGAGACTCAGACCTCCTGTCTCGGTCCAGGTTACATCAGGAAGGAGGACCCCAGGAGTTGCAGACCGTGAAGCATGAACCCAAAGGCTGGTGGTTCAAGCCTGGGAGTCTGCTTCTCTCAGTCGCTTTGTGGATAGCCCTGTGGAAGGCATTTCTTCCCTGACCCACTCGGGGCACCATGCGTTCTGTCGGCACCAGGGCATGGGTCTGAGTAAGTGGCATCACAGTGGTTCATTGCCCTGCGGACGGAGGGGCTCTGCTTGGGGAACCACATTTCCTGTGGTAAACTATCCAAGTGAAGGCACCTTATTGCTTTATTGTCAGTTGTTGAAAAGAACACATTTGCATGATCAAGAGGCTATCGCATGCACTGGAGCTTGAATTGAAATTTTCTCTGAGAGATAGCTCAACCACTCCCTGTGATGAAGGGCGCTGCAGCTAACATTGTACTGTGTGTGTGTGTCCCCAACCCTCTGAGCACCAGGACACCCAGATGAGGCTGTCTGTCATCTCTGCACTCTTCTGCGTCCTGAAGCTTATTTCTTCCAAGGCTGACATCACAGAGGAGGAGAGCTTTCATTGCTAAGCATCCTTTCTAATCTCAGAGAATGTTCTTCCTCCCACTGAACAACTGAAGCTCCCCACAGCACCTGAGTTATTTCTTGGATATTCTCACTCCCTTCCACGCACCCCTCCCAGAACACCGATTTCAGAGGCCCCCAAGTTCTCCCGTCCTTGATCCAGCGTCTGGAGAAAGAGGAGGACCTCGACTGATGCTTATACATCCCCACCGGCTCCCCTTCTCTTCTTTCCTTCTTGAGGACAGCAGGGCCTGGGGCCTGACTGTGAAGATAAAGCTGGATCTGGGGCTAGAGTGCTGCCTGATTCCCTGTGAGAGGGGCCAGGATGGGCTTCTTTGAAGAAGGCAGCAAGCGTAAACATGCTGAGTGCATTTATGATGACTGTTAGACACACACACACCACAGAAACACAGCACATTCAGTGACGTGTCACGGGATTGGTGGATTGAATGTGGGGCTGCTAACTCAAAGTACAGTGGTTTGAAGCCACCAGCAGTTCCATCTGCTTTTGTAAAGGTGACGGGGGAGACCCATTGGGGCACTTCTGCTCTGTTCCTCGGGGTCTCTGTGAGTCAGAATTTATTTCATCAGTGTGGGTGTCTATTAAGAAGTTCTGGTTATGCAGTGGTTAAGCACTTGGCTGCTAAGTGAGAGGTTAACTGTTCAGATGCATTCACAAGCTCACGGGAGAAAGACTTGCAGTCTGTTCCTTTAAAGATGGCAGCCTGGGAAGCCCTATGGGGTGACTTTCCTCTGTCCTTCATGGCCCCTGTGGGCCAGGTCCCACTGGACGGCATGGACTGGTCAGGAGTGAGGGCAGTTTTCAACAGGATACTGTCATCCTGGAGATGTTTTCACAAAAATGAGACAGACAAAGAGAAAGAGGAAAAGAAGACTATTTGAAAGCCAGTCCTAGACCAACAGGGCTCCAGGCCCCCAGCCATGACTGGTCAGCTTGCCCTGTGCAAAGCTGGAGCCTGGTAGGGAGCGGCGGCCACAGCAGACTGCAGCTGTCCTGGTTTCCTAGGAAGCTTGAGTGGCGTGGCCTGAGGACCTCTGGGCTCGGGGTCGGATCTGCCCAGGCTCTTAACTCAGACAGATCTTCACGGGGAGTAGAGGTAGTCTGCTCAGAAGCCACGAGCACTCTTTGATGCAGACTGTAACCCCCACCTGAGTTCATTTTGGAAGAAAGGAGCAAAAGGGCTGCAGGCTGGATACTGGTGGGGGCTCTGGCTTGGCTGTGCGAGCCTGACAGAGGGTCAGTCTCTGAACGCAGGAGAAGCTGACCATGGCAGGTGCAGAAGCGGCTCCTGCCCCTCCTGGCAAGGGGAGTCCTGCTTTTGTCACCTACACTGTGTGCAGACCTGCGTAGTACCCTGCCCCGAGGTCCTGTCACTGGTCGTGCAGGGGCAAGGTCCAGCTTCCAGCATTAAAACCCTGTGGAGACAGTGCTGTTTTCGACACCCCTGGGACCACTAGTAGTGAGAGCACACTCCGCTGTGATGGTGTGTTAAGAGGAGAACAGGGTAGGATACCTTTCCATGATGCCCACAACACAGTCCCCAAGAGGGGCTGACGGAGTTGCCTGGACTGGAAAGTTCAGGGACAGAACAATCAGAAGGGAAGGGGTTCCTTCCTTCTCTCTTAAACTGTGTACTTCAGGAGGGATTTTGGATTTGCCATTACCATGTGAAGACGTTATGGAGCACCCCACCCACCCTTTACCAAGCGCTGCTGCTAGAAACACCCTATGCCCGTGTGATCTGTGTGAGGGAATTCAGGAACCATGTTGACTTAGGTTCTTTACTGAAAACCCTCTGCTGTCAGCTGATTCCTACTTTTGCCAGCCTCATAGGGCAGGGTGACACTATCCACGAGCGTTTCCAAGGTTGTCAGTCTCTAAGGACAACTGTCACGAGGACATGACATGAGGACTGTCATGAGGCTGTCCTGAGGAGCAGCTGATGACTTTAAACCCCCTTTCCTTAAACTGAGCACTTCAGCCCCATACTGGCCAGCGCACCCCTGGCCTCAGATCCCATCAGACCCCAGGTGGCCCTCCCTCCAGTCTCCGAGGCTATAGAGGGCTCCATGCCCAACCTGCCTCCCCGTTCTCACTGGAGCAGCTGGTGAGTTCTGGTTGCCTG